CAATAAATATATTTTCCATTATTTTTCTAGAGGAAAAATATTCATTTTTGAGTAGATTACTTCAAATCTAGCATTCACACATTAAAACACATACAGGAAATTATATTTTTCAGTAGTTTTTCCACAAGTAAATAATATTAATTTGGTAAGGCTCAGATGTCCCAGCTTTTCACCAGCCTTGAACGCACCATTACATATTCAGAGGTTTATAGTAACTAAGTACGTTTACTTTGTTACAATACTTAAGTAACTTTTTAGAGAATTTGTAATCGTACCAAGTTTTTTTATTCATGACTTTTACTTAGTTACTTTTAAAACCTAAACATGATACTTTTACTTCTTTACTTTACAGTTTAACACCTAGTTACTTGTTACAAATTATATCTGTCTGAACTCATCATGAAAGGAGTTGTTTATGTGCTCTAAAAAATTGTGTTGAATTTACTCAACGACATCATATCAACTATTTCCACTAAACCTAGTAGAGTAAATATGAGGCAATATACATATTTTATTTTAAAGAAATTGACCAATTTAATCAACTTGGTTTTGTGGAGCCAGTTTGGTGGAAAAGTACTTTTACTTTGATTTCTACTTTCCCAATTTTTGTGAACAGTTTTATGACTTTTACTTAAGTAATTTCCTCATCAGTGACATTTATTTTTACCAAAGTCATTTTCTGTTAAAGTATTTTTACTTTTAGTTATTTCTTTCAAGTACTTTATAGACCTCTGTACATATGTGAAAGTCTCATAAATTATAATGGCAGGCAAAGAGATCCGAGCATTCATGCACGTGAAAATTTTATTGTGAGACTAATTRATCTCCATAGCTTCTTAGCTACTACCACACCAAATATTGACGTTGTGCTGCTGTGCGCACATACACATCTCATCTGAACACAAACYAACTCAAAACCTGCTAAACGTAAACACACCTTTAATGCTGTCAGAGTCCGTGACGTCACGGTCTGTCGTGGCGGTGGAGATGACGTCCATGATATTAACGGTCGCCCAGGCGAAAGGCATGCGATAGCGGCCCAGCCTCTGGCAGAAAACCTCTGCCTGGTTTCGCAGCTTCTCGAGTTTGTCCTTGTTCTGAAAAAAATAAAAATAAAAAAATAGATTTATTACAAAATGTCTTTCTGTCAGCTGCAGCAACAAATATCATCCCTTACAGTACACATTAATGTGACCCGAGCTAAAAGTCAAATGGACATCATTTTTCTGCACAGCTTGACAAAAAGGAAATTGCTTCGTCACGTTACCTTCGAGGAGTCACTTTCCCTCATTGTTATATACGGGTCAGCACAGTCACTGATCTCTCCTTGCTGCAAGACCTTCTCGATCTGAAACACAGGCAGGAAGTGCAAAAGTCATCTGAGAAGCTCAGCACATTTAAAAATAATCCATCTTTTGCTGCCAAATACACAATCATGCATTGAGTTATTTGAAACCGAGATTTCTATTATGTTTCCTCATTCATATAACGAGCACAGTAAATTTTTTTATTACCTTAATGACCAGAAATATGTCAGGAGAAGGGTAGGTAATAGAGAAAATGCCAGATCTAGCGAGCGTAGAGGAATCCACGTTTGGAGTGTGAGGTTTCAAAAAGGATTTTAACTGTTCTGAGTTGAGATCACAGTAGAAGTTTTCTGATATCTGCAGGTGGGGAGAAATGAATAAAAAAGATCAATTATAGCAATCAGAGAACAACACAACCCTAATATCATTCAGGTGTTTCCTAGGAAAATAATACATGAAAAATCGCTGGACAAAGAGAAAAACAGGACTCTGATTGAGTCCACTCTTTTCCCCTCCAGTTGACCTCGSGGGCAGGAACACGGCCATATGTTCTGGTCTGGCCGGACCTGATGTGCGTCATGTGATCCTAATCAGAGCAGAGCTATTAACCTCACAGCTCAACCCCACACGCAGAGCAGGCCCGAGCAAACCCAAGTAAACCACAAGACAGATGTGTCTGACCACTCTGCGATAAGTGGCATACTTTACTTTCTGCTACTCTTTGTGGTGTAACAAACCAGAAAACCAAAATGACAACAGATTTTGTGACAGAAATGACCCTGCTTACAAAAAAACGAGGCACATAATCTCAAAAATATATTTACAGCTGATATTTCCATCAGTGTCTGCTGAATTAACCACCTCAGTGTATTGAGCAAAAATTTAATTTACTAGTAGGTCATCCATCCATCTATTTTCTTCCGCCTATCCGGGGTCGGGTCGCGGAGGCAGCAGCTTCAGAAGGGAGGCCCAGACCTCCCTCTCCCCA